GAGATTCACATCCCGGGCACTTGTAGTTCTCGGCTGCCCGTAGTTTCCATTGTGGTTGACCTGATTCTCGAAGTAGACGAACCAGATTCCGGGACGTAGGATGTCCGGCAGCCTTGTGATAATGAGCCACCTTAGCTTCCCATTTGCGAAGCTCTTCTGGAGAGGGACCATCACCATCGTGAACTACCGGTGGAGCAGCAGGGGGAACAGGAGCAGGTAGAACCGGAGGTCCAGGCACTGGTACGGCTGGTGGATCATCAGCAGGTAGAGCAGCAGGAAAGATGTCCACCTCCTCTTCCAAGTCGTGAAGATTCTTGATGGCCGTTGCACAACGAAGTTGCCGAAGTCCAACTTCTTGATCGCGCCAAAAGCGTGCAAAGGAAGTGACCATCTTCCAAGGGTAGTAGGCCGTCTTGGCGGTCTCCTGACCAGCGATTTCACCATGAGGATGTTGGGCACAGCAGACCTTACAGCGGTAGGAATGCCAGAAGGATTCATCGTTGGTCTGAATGCGCCACTTCTTCCTCAAGAACTCACCGGTGGTGGTGCGCATGTCATAGACACAGCCATCTATCCGGCACGGATTCCAGGGGATGAAGTTGGTGTCCATGTAACTCTTGAGGTCAAGCAGGGTGGATTCTTTCCAGCCCTCACATTGTACCGGCCATTCCCAGTAGATGAGTACATCAGGGTCAACCTTGAGGCAGTCCTTGATGAAGGCATTGGCCTGCTTGAGCATGCGACGTTCGCGTCGTCGATAGTCTTCAAGAAGATCTCGACGCTCAGGAGTCCGGTAGTTCAACCGATTCCAAGGACACCACTTCGTGCAAGGTAGTGAGAACCAGAGGCGCCGAGGGCGTCGCCGACGATATTCTTCTCGAAGACGCTGCCAGCTGGCCGGCTTATAGAGATCATATCCTTGTTCAAGATTGACTCGATGAGGTTGAAGACCTTCTCGATCACAGGCTTCAGATAGCCAGGAATGAGGTGCGCATGCAATTTCCCAGAGTCCGTCACGACCATCCATGACAAACTTCGCAGTCTCGGTGGTGAGCTGGTTGAGCAGGAGGGTGGCCATCAACATTACCTTCTTGGCCATGTTGTGAGAGACCGGATGAGCCTTCACTGAGACTCCTCCTCCAGATCCTGACCGACCGCGTCCCAACTTGTCGGTGTGCTGCTGACGGATGGTTGTGCTTGAGGTTGAGGCTTGGAGACCTTCTTGGTCGGGTAGCCCTTGGAGATCTTGGTCAGGGACTGGCCGATGACCGCCTCGATGGAGGAGTGCAGAGCTTCCTCGGCCTCGATCTTCTTGAACATCGCCCGGCAGATGTCGGCCGTGGGAATGTGACCATTCATCAGGGGCTGCAGCTCGTTGAGCATCCTCAGCACCATGCCGGGGTTCTCGTTCCTGGCCGAGTTGCCATGTGACCCTTTTCGAGGGATGTACTCCAGACGCACTTGACATACGGCACAATCGATCCATTGAGCGTGTGGGTTGGACTGAGCTCGAGCAGGGAGATGCTTGCCGTAGCATGGCCATTGAGCCATCTGTGCACGGGGGTCTCGAAGGTCGATCCCATTCTTGCGACTCGGATCCAAAGGTCGGGCCGGACTGCGGCTCGGAGTACTCTTCTTGATGTGACCAATCAACTCCTCGGCTTCGGCGGTCGTCACGGTTGGAGTCGAAGGCTGAGCCATCAGCGCCGAACTGAGGAGTTCTCGAATTGCAAGGGGTACTGTTACCACCAGACATTGAGCAACTGGCAGCTGACGGGTCATGAAATGGTTGATCATTTCGAAGAGCAACCGATGCGGCATGCAGAGTTCGGAGTCTTTCACAAGATTGTTCAACCCGTACCTCATCAGGAACGATATGATCCACGGTCATGTCATAATACTCAACCGCATGGAACTCCAGTTGATGGATGGTTTCCACTTCAGGGGGTGCTTGATGGAGTACACGGATTTCCGGATGGCCTTGATCATTACCACATCCCCTAGTCAAGTAATGGACGAGGTCCAAGACATAGTGGCCCTTCTTGGTGGTCCGAAGTTGATATGGTTCTGGATGAGGGTCATGAGCATCCATAGCCAGTCCCGTGGAAAAGTCAATGATCATCGCTGAGGGGTCCCTTGCCAAGTGATCCATGCCCAGAAGTAAGGGGACCAAGCTGGTTTTGTCGAACTGGGGATGATGAAGATCCGGTGGATTGGGCAGGGCATACACGGAGAAGCTCTGGGGTTGTCCCGAACTGGTAGATGTGATAGTGACACGATATAGAGCCTTACCCCACTTACCATTGCCAAAGCGAAAGCACGGCCGCATGTACTTTTCAATCTGGATGGAAGCTGCCTTGTCCAAGGCCAAAACTGACTTGATCAGTCCCTTGACCGATTCCTCAGGGCCGGCTGACGCGGTGGCTCCACAACCGATCAGAGCTTCACCATCTTGAATATGCGGGGTGTTGCCGTTGGGAGGCAGGTCGGAGTGACTGTTGAAGAATTCCAGGCCGTGGGCATAGTACTCCGTGTTGTACATGTTCACAGGTGGACGGCCAATAGGCGATCCCTTGGGGGTTCCTTTGGAGCCTTTCCAAGCAGCCTGAAGATCTATCCAGTTGGCGAACTTGCCCTTGCGCCCCTTCGACTTGCTCTTGCCCTTGCCCTTGCCGATGAAGTAGTCGTCGTGGTACGTCGCGAAGTCGTCGACGTAGTGCATGAAGCGACCCTTAGGGCGATTCTTGGCACCCGGATGGGACCGATCTGGGCAGTCCCGAGCGAAGTGTTGACCTCCGCATCGAAAGCACCCGGTGTCTGAGGAAGACATCGGTTTCTGATGGCCAAAGCCACGATCTCGTCGAAGAGCAGCTGTAGCTCGCTGAGCTTCAGTCCATGTACGCTGGGCCTCCATGGCGAGGTTTTCCGCCATGCGCTCAGCGGCTTGAGCTTCCTGTAGTTGAGGGTCAGCAGGATCATCACCTTGGAGTTGATGGGCTTGAGCTTCAGAAGGTTCAGATTCTTCAGGGATGTCGCCGTACCCGTAGTACTGGTCATAGTTAGGGTCCGTCCAGGAGTCCCAGTCGGTCTCCGCGGCGTAGTCTTGAAGCCACCAATCGGACTCCTCCATGGGGGACTCAATCATGTTTTGGTAGTGCCAGGAAGGACGAGGTTGGGATTGATGTGATACTCCCGGTCTACCTAGAAGCTGTTCGTCCCACATGGTCTGGAGAGCCTTGACGATGACCTCAAACTCCAGGGATCCACGAGTAGCAGAAACGATGTCACGCTTCTCGTCAGCATTTAGTCCCGCCGCCTGTAGCAGTCGAAACCCACGAAGTACTCCAAGCACAAAAGAATCTGCCAAGGAGAATCCAGGGTCATCCGGACCAACTGCGGCAGAATGCCGACTTGGTGTGGATCTCGGTGGAGGTCGAAGAGGGGAGCCAACTGATCCATCGGTGTCACCAGCCGCAGGTCTGGGTGTAGGTGAGGGAGAAGGTCGAGCACGGTCTCCGCGATCATCATCATCATCAGGATCAGGTTGATCCTCACCCAGCTCCGCCTCGTCGGTGACATACTCCTCGGGAAGGTCGAAGTCCTTCTCGTGCTGTTCGATGCCCATCTTATCATCCTTAAGGCGTTCCAGCGCCTCGATGAATTCGCTGTAGCCGAGTGCTTCCCGTACAAGGAAAGCATGCATTGCTTCTCCATGTTGGCGACGAAATGCAAAATACTGCTGGCAAATTGCTGCAGCATTCGGGAGGCTTTGCCTGACCAGCGGACTGCTGGCCAAACGCTGTAGGTAGAGCTTAGTGCCGCCAACGTGATCAAAATCCGCATTGCGCCATGACATAGCCAGAAGCCTCGCAGGGCCAGACAACCGACTCACCAGTTTGGTGGCGCAATACCTCCGTTTATGATATGGCGTGCTGCGAACGAACCATGACACTTCTCGAGTGTAGCGTCTCCAGGAGCGAGCAGAGCCATCCCAGGTGGGCACATGATGTTCCTTCTCAGCCATGGCTTGAATAGAAAACTGTAAAGCAAGGTCCAGGTCGTCTCACCTGTAAGTGCAGAAAATAAAGGAGCGCCGCCAAAAACTTGAAGACCAAGCAGCAGCAATGAAGCAGGGGAACTTCAGGAGATCAAGATTCTTTGAGAATCGGCTCAACTGAAGAGGTCCAGGCTCGTAGCGCTCCGCTACCAATGTAGCGGAGGCACAGGGTTCAGTGTTGGGCTCACGGGGGATCAATGTGCAACACAATGTCCACGAAGGCAAGGCGCTCAGCGCACCTGTTTCAGCTGTCGGACGGCCGTCAGGGGCCGATGTAATCACTATGGCTGGAAGCCAGACCTCCCGGTCTGAATAGGACAAAAAGGGGGCCCCCTATGCATGAGCCGATATGGCACACCACAGGATGACTCACCTGACATGTTGTTCAGGAAGCTGCAGAAACCCAAAGTGGTTTTTCCCTTGAACAAACCCAAAGAGAAACGGGCACCCTTCAAAAAGTGTCAAACAAACTTGAGGACTGCCTGGCCGGCGGCAATGGCCAGAGGTACCCCAACAAAGGGCTGATCTTCCTCCCACCCACGGAATCAGCATACCTCCATTCTCCCAGGAAAATCAGGTGCGTCGCAATCAAAACCCGGTATCAAAATGGTCCACCCAGAACCACGTAACGAATCAAGAAGGCGGACATCCGCAGCTACTTATGGTTGGGAGTATCTCTTACTAATGTTCACCTACCCGCGTTTTGATTGTGGCTCAGGTGGGGCTGCAACGCCGCCGGGCTTTCCGCCAAATGCGGTCCGCATCGATGCAAAAAGTCATAGGAGTTAGTCCACCAAACACGTCTCGCAGAAGCCCAAGTTTCATCGAAAGCCAAAAGGGACACCGCCGAGTTGGGGGCAAACAATCCACCAGGTTTCATCCGCCGATTGTCTCACTCACGCCTGTCCGGTGCGCAACAGAGCAAACGCGCTGGCTCGCGCACCGTGTCATCCCAGTCGAAGATGATGATGGTCTGGTTGGGATGGTGATACCTGGCAGAGATCAGGTGGCGCTTCAGGCGTTGGCTCCAACTCCAATTGCAGGCGACATCGGCGCGTGCAGATTTGAGCCAAGGCTTTCAATTGGAGATGCCTCTGACACTTGCCTCTATCTCTCCTGCCCGAATAGGATGGCACAAAACCTACAAGCGAAAACCGAGCTCATCGGCGCGAACTGCGCACAGGACTGGGTGCTTGGTGGTTTCAAGCGCGTTGGGTGCAGCGTACGCCCGTGTTCTCTTCGGCTTTCGGCTTTCAGGGGTTCAAAAGACAAAAAACAAAGTTTAACAAAATGCGGGGTTCAATCGATTGATGCTTGCATTATTAAGTGACCTCTTCTCTCCAAGTCCCTCTAGGAGTCGCTGGGCAGCTTCATGAGCACTAAACACCAAGGTGTCGCCCCAGCTACGAAAGCTGTCATTTCCTACTTGGGGGTTCGTCCGACCGCCCTGAAACCAGGGCTTGGCTTCCTTGGGCGGCAAATGACCCCCATGTGGTGTCCTTCAAGGCCCTCGAAACAGCCAAACCGCTTTCCTGCCGGTTTCCCTTTCAAACCCCTCCAAGGAAGGGGTACCCAACTCCAAACAAGAGGAACGAGACCCACCGACCCGTCGGTTCCCCTTTAAACCCCCAGCCCAACCGCAAAAAAGAGACGGACCCCACCGAGGTCCTCCAGTAGAGAGGTTGGAATAAGGGTACCCACTTTCTCTGTAGTTTATTTTAGTAGGGGGGTTCCCTCCCAACCAAAAAGTGGGGCAAAAAAAAGGCACCTAGCTGGGGGACGGACCGGACCTAGCCACTTTCTCCGAGTCGGCGCACTCTGCGGAGCTGTCGGTGGACTTGCAGGACAAAGGCGTCAGGTCCAGCGAGATCCGGCGCTCGCTGTATTCCGGCGAGGTCATCTCCTCCTATCCACGCGCGCGAGGTAGCGACGCGCGCAACGGTGAGCGGAGGACGCGGATGTTCCGCTGAGGAGGAGAACCCATGGGGCCTTTGTTTAGAGGCATTCCCGTTTTTGTTTGGGGGGGGTCCACAAGCAGCATAAACTCAAACTGAGTCCCCTGCACTTTTTGTGGGAAGAGTTGGGGCGAGTCCGTGGTTTTTGTGGTTGACATTTGGAGCTCGACCCTCCCCCATGTCCTTTAAATGGACCAAAGAGACATCTGGATCTTTCGACCGAAGCTCGCACAAATCTTGGGTCACAATAGATGGCCCAGTGCTTCGAGCTACCACCAGTTGACCACTAGGACTTTGCATGATGGCTTCGCCTGCTTACTATGGTATTTCACTGGACGCGCTGGGTGGGTTGTAAAGGGAATCCAGTTTGGAAACGGTCCTTGTGGAGAGACACAGATGCATGTGTTTGCAAGATGAGGGCCCAAAACCTGAAAAAATTCGCAACGTTTTGCAAACCCGCATGAATCCTATAGCAGCACTCATCAAAGAAAGTCCCCTCTTTTGATGGTTTCGCGGTCTCACTTAACCGTCAAGCACAATGGATTGATGCCAACCCCGCATTGCTTGGCACCAGTCGGGAATTCTCTGATGTTTACCATCTGTCAGAAATGTATGGTTTTCTGCCTAATATTGTTCGAGGAACCTCTTTTGAATTGGGACTGCCAAATCAGCGCATTGCCATTGTCCTCAGCTTTGCACCAAGAGCACAACTGCCTTGACACAACATCAGAAAAACAATTCTGGAGATGTACAGGTCTTTTCTCTGAGGGGTCGTATATGTCCTTCCGTTGCCTGCGATCAACACGCAGATATTTTGACTCAAGTCCGTAGTCTCCCGTGCCGTCCTCATCCCCAGTTTCGATCTCCAAATACCTCAGCCGTCAGCGACCATTTGAGTCACAATCAAAACCCGGTAAAATGGTGAACCCAAACCCGACCAAGACTGCGGATTCCCGCACCTAATGGTTGGGAGTATCCCTTACTCTTCATCTAACCGGGTTTTGATTCTGACTCATTTGGCCATTCGGCCTGGGACACAAGTCCGCTGTGGCAAGTTCAGCTCCAGGAACACGAAAAGGACATGTAATGCTCGAGTTGCATCCGAAGGCTTTTGGGGCTAGGAAATAGGAAAACAGCAAAAAAGAAAATAGCAAAACCAGGCTCCACCTTGCACATGCCAAATAGTTTCCATGCTTGGCAAAAGCCGGGGCTTCCCTCCCTTTCCCCTTGCCTTCCATCATTTGCATCCTTCCCTTCTTCCTTCTCTTTCCCCTTCCTTCCCCCCATCCCTACGACCAATGGGTCCTTAACAGCCCCACTGGACGCTTGGCTGCAAGGGCTCCCCTTGGCTCACTCCAAGCTTTGTCCGCAAAATACGCTGGTTTCCTTTTGGTTTCCCTTTAAACCAAGCCCCTTTCAACAGGGACACCCTCCCCCCTCCCTCCTCCCCTCCCCTCCCCTCCCTCCTCCCTTCTCCCCTCCCCCGAG